TTAAAAATTTTTTCTTATAATATAAAATTAAAATTTATAATCATATAATCCTTATTCTTAATTATTATCAAAAAAAATTTTATTTTAATATTTTAAATTTTAAAAAAAATAAAACAGAAGAAAATTTATAATAAAAATTTGGGGCAAATTTGCCCCCAATTGGCCTACAGGCGAAGGGATAACATTATAGTATTGATTTATGATTATGAAACAATGGGTAACCGCAACTTGTTGTATGCCGTAACTTTCATTGGGATGATTCGCCTGCATCACTACTCCGGACAACACAATACTACGCATTAACCTAGTTTATATATTTTAAAGATAGTGTTCTAAGCCGATTAAAATTTTACGGCTAGGCTAAGCCGTTAAATTTTTAATAGCTTAGTGGCTTAGCCAATAGATGGCCGTACAACCAAAATTTAGCAAATTAGCCAAAATTTAGATCTGGTATATCGCATTAGACAATAATACAGCCAACTATAATTGGTCAATTTTATTTAATATGAGCGACTAATCTAATCTAGGTATCACAAAGCTCTGCATATAAAGTAGCGATAGAGCGATTAGCTAACCAAAATTCGTCTTCTAATTAATACGGCTAGTAGAAATGAAATAAGTCTAACTACGTTTTTCAATAGATTTATATATTTATTTTATTTTATGCTGCTTTATTAACAATATAACAATATAAGTAATACTAAATGATCATTATAATTACTAATTTTTTTAAAAATTAAATTTCTAACCCTGGATAGCAATTAAAAAGGGATGAATTTTCTTTTAAAAATAACAACTCACGTATCTGATTTGGATCAAGTCGATTACGTTTATCAGTTAGTAAATTGCTAGCATCTGAGAACAAACGCTCAGAAAGAACTGATGTGGCAGGTATGGCTAGATATATTCTTGCTTGAGATGCAAGAAGTGGTAATGATTTTGCATATTTGTGTCAAAATAACAGTGGGTTGTCTTTTTCATATTCAGGGTGATCCAAATCATACTTGGGAACCAAAGGCAAACTATCGTACAACTGTAATTTGGTATCAAGCAATGATTGTGCTACAGTATCACTATCATCAAAGAATTTACTCATTATATATTCTTGTGTGTTTTTAGTTAAAGAACCAGTAGTGGTACAAGTATGAGAATCGGATGATTCAATAATTTGTGTACGAAGTAAGCTGATTGTCTCTGTTCTTTCTTTAACGTTTAAAAAACGTAAATTTTTAAATTGAGGATCCAGGTATGATGCAATTAATCCGGCTTCTTTTGGCGTATCCCAATGCTTTGACATTGACTAATTAACTGCAATACAAACTTCTTTAACTTTGGATATAGCAAGCTTATTATAAACAGTATCAAGATGCTAAAAAAGCTTTCAAATTGTTGGATACATCATACCTAAAGTAGGATAATGACTACCTCCCATAAATGTGATTGATTGTACAAATGGTTAGAGAAGCATAGTCAGTTCGTTCAGGCATTGCTATTCATAATCTTCCAAAAGAAGATTATGCAATGAATCACCATCATTCCTTACTTGTCGATTAACATCTTTTTGTAGTTGTTGAGCCAATTGGTGAGCAGGATACCGAAAAAGTAAAAGCTGTTTAAGAAGTAGGTATGTGGAATTCCATCTGGTAGCAGTATCACTACTAATTGGTTGAAGCTCTTTTAATTCTGGATGTTGTTTTACAAAATAACTCATCAAATCACTACGATACTTGTCTTGGTTACATAAAAAACTATTTAATCATTTTGCTTTTACAATTAATGCTTCTATTTTTTTTAATCCATCATTAACAGAAAGATGCAATGTATGAGCTGTATAACCAATATGAACAATACGAAGCTGCTTACAAGCTTTTACCATTGCAGTAGTATTATCAGTCGATTCTCCAAATAATTTACTTGAAATATTCCATTTTATAAACGAATCACGAAGAAAGTCTTCGATTGTATTGCCAGTATGAGAATAAGGAAATTGTTGAATCGTTAAAAATGCTTGATAAAGAATAAAATCATTTGAAAGCCAATATATTGTTATTTCAATATAGGGTGTATGGAATTGTGTCCACAAGTCAGTAGTAAAATTAAATGAAGTAAGAGTTTCTTTAATCAATTTTTTTAAATTTGATTCACTAAATATAACCGATGATGCAATTTTTTGCTTTACATAATCAATACATAGAAATTGAAATCAAGATTCACATTCGTGTATTAAATCACGAAACTTCTCATTACTAAGTATATTAAAAGCTTGTAAATTATCAATAAGCCAAGAAATAAGCCAATACATAATTCGGGGTTGTTTTTTTTTTGAAAGAGGTGTAACCTTATTTAAGGTTTGTTCAATTGTTGGCTGATTTGTTTGAATCAGTGCAAAAGTTGGAGTTTTTGAATTATCAGGTTTATGGATTTGATGAACAACACACAAATACGAAGCAAGATTACTTGTACTGGTTTGAAGTTCAAAAGAATGCCCACATTTAGATTTTCCTTCTTTTGTATTAATTAGTACATTACATTTTCTTTTTTTTCAAGCCTAAAAGTATCGAAATATCGGTTTGTCCAGAAAGGTAATCTTTTTCTACTAGATTTATTTAAAGGTTGTTCATTTTTGCGTGTAGTAGCTGATAATATTTTCTTTTTAGCCTCTGAGCTTTTATCCAAATCATCGAATTTTTCACCACTTTCTAAATCCTCATTATATAAATTAGTATCATATAAATCACCGTATATTTGAGATGAATTTGATAAAAAAGAAAACATAAAAAATTCATCATCTTGAGAATCTTCCATTACGAAAAAATCAATATTGGAACTTTTTTTTTGAATTTGATTATATGAGCGTTGATTTATTTATTTGTTTATTTATTATTTATTTATTTATTTTTTATTATTATTTAGTGATAATGATAATTCAAGAAATATACTCAGAACATATGATTTGGAAGTAAAATAAAAGATTTATTTGAAGAATGTATAAGAAGTTTCTTATCAGCAAGTTTCATTGTATCAGGGCTTTGAAATTATAAAGAGAAGTTAATTAATAACACAATCTGTGATTCAATGTTTAACATTTTCATACTCCTTTGCATAGCCATTCTCACAGCCTTCTTTTTTTTAGTATTATTATTTTCTTATAATTTATGACTATGTTTTTTAATTAGTTGACTTTTTGGGTTAGCAGCTTGATATATTAGCAATATCAAATAGATCGGTTGAAAAAGTCATAAGCTTATTCAATATTACAGTAATATAGATATCGCCAAGAAAAAGTCAGGTTTTAGGTTTGTAAATTATTATAAAAGCATATATGTTTTGCAGTTAATAGATGTACTAATTTTTATCTATGATTTTTTTGATATAGTCGACGATTAAAATTTTACACATTTGCCAAAATTTAAAATAAGCTTTCCTCTGCCAATTGGAATATAAAATATATTTATACGTCTTTATAAATAGCATTTGCTTTAATAATTCGAATAAAACGAACGAATTAACTCGATTAGATATTCGAATAATCTTTGAAGTTAATGTGTGAATCAATATGCGATTATCTAATTAAAATTAATGTCTATATTTGTACAATGATAATACGATATGAAAAAAATTTTTTTGTGGTACTGGGGGCTTTGTTTGCACAGGTTCTTTAATTAATTATAATCGGATGAGGCAGTTACGCCATAGCTTTATCTATTAGCCAAAATAAGAAATTCTTTACTTTAATGGACGCTCTGTTTTGGCCTACTAAAAGCTTGTTTTTTAACACATTTTAGATCGATTTTCTGGATTGTATTATTATGATATATGTATTATTGTTATTAGCTATTATTAGCCGTTTAGCCGGTTAATGAAA